GGGAAGACACAGGTGGGCAAAGAACACAGAGGGTAAAGTGACCAGGGACAGACTTCTCAGGCTCTGGGACCCAATTCTTCTGCCACCTTCTTTGTGGTCGCCCTCTGGTGTGGAGCCGATCAGGCTGGACCCTGCTGTGACCTCACAGGGATCCTCAGAAGATTGGGAGCACACCTGCTCAATAGGCCCAGATCAGGAGGAGCAGCCCCTCCCACGCCCACTGCTCTGGGCTACATGCAGTTTGCTGCGCCCACACGGGACAGGCGGACAGACACTTGTCCTCAACCCAAAGGACTCCTGCCTGGGCTCCACTCCAGGGCAGCACATCCTGGGGGGTCTTCAGAGCCCTGGGTCAGGGTGCAGGGCCCCAACTCCTGCAAAGCCTCTGGAAACTAATCTCTGGACTCCGAGGAGACACACCGCGTCCCTTGGCTTCGCCTGCCACTCGATGCCCTCCTGGTGTGAAGAGACAGGGACCCTCGAGCCTGGGGGCTGGGCAGGCCAGGTGGGCAGGCAGGGTGGGCCTCCTCCCACCACCCCGCCCCTCCTGGGGCCTCATGGGAGGCTGAGGCCTTTTTGTGCTTCTCTGGGGAAGAGCACGCAGTTCTGCAGCCCCAGAAGGACCCTTTCTGCTTCCACGGAGGGTGGGGGTTGGGGTGGTAGGGGGCATCGGAGTGGGCAGGGTTCCCAGCAGCCTCTGAGCCCAGAGGTGACTAATGGAGCCATCAAAGGACTGGAGGCTCCCAAGCCCAGCTGTTTGAAGCCTAAACTGTATTGATTGAGACTTTAATTGCTCCGTAATTGCTTAGTAAACACTGGCCGGTCCATTGATCTGGGCTCCAGCCACTGGGGAGAGACCAGAGGGGGACGGGTGCTGATGCAGGGTCTCCCCACGCCACGCCGGGCGGCGGGCCCTTCCTCAGGGGTCTCCAGCAGAGCCCGCAGCCTGGCTGGCTGGTGACTGGGGATGGGGTTACCGAGAGGGACTGCTTAGGGCAGGAGGCTCTGCCATTGGCCACGGTGCTCTACGGGGAAGCACCAGGCTGAGAAGCCTTTTTTCTTTCACGGGGGGAAATACAAAAGCCAGCCTGGAAAAATAAGCCCCGGCAGGCTGCACGCTAATATACTAACAGCGGTTAATTCCATATGACTGGATTCCATTTTTATTTTCTTCTTTACAGTTCTGTATTTTCCACATTGCCAACAACTAGCAAGTATAACTTATAATCAGAGGAAATAGATGTTATTTAGGATCAAGTGAAGCGGCTGGAGGCATTTCTCCTGTGCTCTTCAAGAAAGTCCTAGCAGCAGCCCCAAGGAAGGCAGTTGCCTGTCGGAGTCTGGCCGGCGCTGAACTTCCAGCTCCAGGACCGACTAGCGGGGTCCGTCTGCCAGACCCAGAGCGCCTCTCCACCCCAGGGTCCTTATCTGCAAGTGGCCACAGCAGCCGTCTCACGCAATTACATGAGATGAAATACTGAGAGTGCTCAGTGCAACAGCAAGCATGCGTGCCACTTGCATCCTGGAGGCAGGACCAGGTACCCAGAGCGCCCCCCCAGGGCTGGGGGTGGCTCAGCTTCCTGCTTAGTGCCCTGCCTTCCCAAGTGCCCCCCCCACCCCAGCCTCCTGTCATTACTCTAACAGAAGCCAGTCTTCCTCATCTCGGGCCCCACTGCCACCCACGGAGACAAATGGGCCCTATTCCGCTGGAGGCAGGAGGCGGCTGGCCAGCTCCAGGGTCATTGTTCCCAACTCACTGAGAGCCAGAGAGGGAGGGGAGCCTGTGGGATGGAAAGCAGGGCTGCGATTACTGGCCTATTCAGTTCCCCAGAATAAAGGCCTGTCATCAGGAGCAGCAGGGGAAGGTGGGAAGAGGGGCAGAGCCTGGTACGCACTCTACTCATTGTGTGCCCGGGGCTGCGTGAACGTAGGCACAATGAGCAGTGGGCCAGCCTTGGGAGCCTTGCCAGCCCCATAACTGCTCCACTCCCCGTGCCCACCATGCAGCCTCCTGGTCTTCCCACTTCTGGGAGCATCCCCCTGCAGTCTCTCCTGACTCCACCCCCAATCTCGCACCCCACCCCACATGCCCCAACACTGGGGCTCTGGGCGGGGGCCGGTGTCTCCCTGGGGCTGCAGCATCTCCTCTTTACACATCTGATCGGAGGGGCTGTGGGTGACTAGCTGCAGCCCCCAGGGGATGAGCCCAGTGGCTCAGGAAGGGGACTCCTGCTCAACCCCATGGCTGGAGGTAGGGACAGGGAGGGGCAGCCCCTCAGACTCTGCTGACCTGGTCAGTACTGGCTTCAGCCAGGCTGTAGAGGAGGGAGGGAGGGGCCCTGGTGGCCAGCCCTGCGCTCACACATCGAGGCCCTGGCCCTGAACTCCTGCCGCTGGCGCAGAGGCCTTACTGGGTCTCCTGTACAGACCACTGACTTATCCCAGACTTGGCCGGGTCCTTGCTGAGCAGGTGGGAACCCACACTGAGCAGCTGGGAGGAACTTGGCTTGTCTCAGAGCCCAGCCCAGGGTCTCCCAAGGTGGCCCAGAGGCCTTGTGACCCCCCCACCCCGTGTGTACAGGTCACCGTCCGGCTTCTGACCCGGGCACCTTCTTGTAGGGAAACTCAGGGGCGGTCTGGGTTCGATATCCGTGGGCGCAGGCAGGACACCTGCTTAAAGGGAAGGCAGAGGGGCTGGGAAGGTCCCGCATGGGGCTGGGAACGGGGATGTTGGGAGACTGATGGGAGAAACTGTATCTCAGGGTGGAATCCGCCCAAGAAGCCAAGAACAGACAGACCGACCGACACACACACTGCTGGACGTCATAAGGCACCGGAGGGCCTCTCCCAGAGGCGCCGAGACGCTGACATCGGACAGATGAACAGACAGACAAACAGACACATATTCTGGGAAACTACAGGCCAGACAGACAGGACAACTTGGAATAGCAGAAAAGACAGCGGCTGGAGGTCTGGACCAACCTGGGGGCCTGCCCCCTGCCTGCACAGAGGGAGGGCTGTGGTGGGCGGTGCTCACAGGCCTGCCGTGACCATGACCAACGCTCCAGAGAATCTCTCACCTCCCACTCTCCCTCCCAGCACCTCCGCCCTGAGCTGGCACCTGCCCCTTCAAGGAGAAGCTAAGGTAACAGATTTCCTTCCATCCCACCCAAATCTTGGAAAGCAAGCCTATTCTGCTGGCACTCAGGCCCCAGTACACCACCTCTGCCTCCCACCCAGCGCACCGGCTTTTCCCACCACCCCCTCCCAGGAGTCAGGCTGCGGGGCACTCAGAGGAAGAGGGGGGGCCTCAGAAGACCCAGGTGCCCCCGGCCCGAGCTTCCCGGGGACACTGATCCACCCTCACCAACGCCAGTGACCAGATGGCGGCGATAAATGTTCCAGGAAGTGAGTTGGCCAGATGGGGGCAGGAGGCAGACCCAACAGCTTTTCTCTTGTCCTCCCTTCCAATGAGGGCATGTTTAGGGAGAAGACTTGGCTGTGCGCCTGAGCCCCGGGGCTCCCGGGAGGGGGCAGGTCTCCCAGCCCCTTGCTGTCCTCCTTCCTCTCCTCTCCCGCTGTCTCTTTCTCCCATTTCTCTTCTTCTTTCCAGTTTCTAAGAAGCCCATTTTCAACTTGGGGGCATCACAATGTCCCCTGGATGGGGGTCCCGGGAGATCCAGGCAGCCTCACTCTCCTTAGGTCCTGGGCACAGAGCTCGGCCTGAGACCTCCAGGCATTAGCACCGCACAGGGCCCGCCCCGGGCCTTCCACCCCGGGGAAGATGTGCCTCTCTCCGCCCTGGGGGTGAGGGTCCCCAAGCTGGGCGCTTATTTTGACCCAGCCTCCACCGTTCCTTCCGCAGAGTCCTGCCTCTCTCAACCCCCTCTGGCTTCCTTAGAGGGAAAACAAGAGGTAACACCTTTCAGGGGGAGGTTCTCTGTCCCCAAGCTTTATTTTCCAAGGAGTAGAGGGGAAAGGGTCCTGGAACTACTGAGTACTGAACCTGGGAGTGGTGAGAGGTAGGCGTGGAGGGTCCTTAGTGCAAGTGCCATGGGGGCTCTGCACCTTCTGCTCCCCTCCCGTCCAGCCTGAGCTGCCCAGAGGCTCCGTGAGATGGCACGGAATGCTGCTCCCTAGATAGACCAGCCCCTTCGTCATACAGATGGGGAACCTGGGGCCCTGGGGAGTAACGCACCCACATTCATTCTAACAGGAGATGGCCAATGGGGCAAGTTTCAGGCCAAGCATCCTGACCCCCAGGGAAGTAAACAAGCAAATAGAAGAATGCTGAACTGAGACGGAAGCCTTGGGGGAGAGAGGCTGGGACAAAGTGTGATCAGCACAGAGGGAGGAGAGGACGCTGAGACGGAGGGACACGGGGCGGGGTGGGGGTGGAGCGTGGTGGAGGGAGACTGCGGGGAAGACAGAGCCTGGGGACGACCCAGAACAAGGCGAGGAGGAGAGCCTGGGCAGGGACTCCAGACCTGACTTCTTGATGCGCCCCCTTCCTTCCCAGGGGGGTTGGCGAACCCAGCAGAATGAGGTTGACAAACCTTCAAAATTAAAGTCATCTTGGCAACTTTGCGGAGGAGAAAGACATGAAAGAAAAATGCAAATCTCGGGCACAAGAGGAAGGGTGGGCACTCTCATCAGTTGGGCAGCAGCGGACGCCGGACAACCTGCCGTGCGAGATTTACGTGTCTCCTCAGATGAAGCCCCTGACCTTGACACAGGTGGAGGTTCTACAGGCCGTCTGGTGGGAAGGAGCACTGGGCTGGGGTCTGCGAAGTGGGTATAATGACATGAAGTGGGAATGGCTCATCTGGGGTCCAGAGGAAGACAGGAAAGATGAACATAGGAGGAAGGAGGTAAAAACAAACAAACAAATGGAATAGGAGACTTGGGAGGAAGAGGCCGAGTGGTGCCGTGGCGTGTGCTCTGCTCAGGGGACGGACGGTGCGGGTGGGGAGGGAGGCCCGGGCATCGGTCATTCCCACCTTTGGGAGGCCAGGTCGGAGCAGGCGGGCTTCTGCTCGGCGTCGGCGGCTGGGCAGCAGAACTGGTGCAGCACGGTCTCATTCCTGGGGGCAGAGCAGAGGGAGAAGGTCAGAGCGCCCTGCCCCTGGGCAACCCCGAGACTCCAGACACTGCCCAGGGGAGGATGAGCAGCACTGGTTCTGTCATAAGGCCTTTCAGTTCAGACTCCACCTCCTGCTTGCAGCCCCCGGACCCCCGCCAGTGATCTCCTCTACTTCTGCACCCCCATCCCCGCAGGAGGCTCCTCTACCTGGATGGATCACTCAGTTGGCTCTATCTTTGGTCATGAAATTGACTCAAAATGGATAAAAGACTTAAACATAAGACCTGAAACTAAAACCCCTAGAAGAAAACATAGGGGGAAAGCTTTATGACATTGGTCTTGACCATGACTTCATGGATATGACACCAAAACCACAGGTAACAAACATGAAAATAGACAAGTGGCACCACATTAAACCAAAAACACTCCTGCACAGCGAAGAAAACAATCAACAGAGTGCAAATGCAACCTACAGAATGAGAGGAAATATTTGCAAACTGTATGTCAGATAAGTGGTTAATTTTCAAAATATATAAAGAAATCTTACAGCTCAATGGGGAAAAAAAAGCCCTAATAACTCAATTAAAAGTGAGCTAAAAACTTGAATAAACATTTCTCCAAAGAAGACAAACAGCCAACAAATATATGAAAAAATCCTCAAAGTCACTAGTTATTAGGGAAATGCAAATCAAAACCACAATACGCTGTGCCCTCACACCTGTTAGGATGTCTATTATCAGAAAAGCAAAAGACAGCAAGTGTTGGGGAGGACGTGGAGAAGCTGGAACCCTGCACACAGTTGGTAGGAATGCAAAATGGTGCTATAGAAAACAGTGTGGAGTTTTCTCAAAGGATTAAAATGAGGACTACCACATGATCCAAAAATCCCCCTGCTGGGTATTGATCCCAAAGAATTGAAATCAGGATCTTGAAGAGATATTAGCACCCCAATAATCAGTGCCTCCTATTCACAATAGCCAAGATTCATAAACACTCTAAATGACAGAAGAATGGATAAAGAAAATGTGATCAATATATGCAATGGAATACTACTCAGCCTTTAAGAAGAAGGAAATCCTGTTACATGTGATGGATAAAACTTGAAGACGTGCTAAGTGAAATAAGCCAGTCACAGAAAAACAAATACTGCATGCTCCCGCTGATATGAATGACGTATCTGAAATAGTCGAACTCATGGAATCAGGGAGTAGGGTGAGCAGGTGGTGAGCAGGGCTGCGGGGGAGGGGAGAAGGAACTGGGGAATTGCTAAGCAAAGGGCACAAAGTTTCAGTTATGCAAGGTGAGTGCCTCTAGTTACATTTTACAGTGTAACTACAATGTAGTTACACAAATGTAACTTAAAACACAAATGTAACTTAAAAATGTCTTAGGAGGGTAGATCTTACATTAGGTATTCCTACCATGATAAAATAAGACACGATAAAAATGTTAACCATCCATATAAGTGTTTTGGTTTGAATATTCATTTCGTGAGTTGTTTGACTCACTTTGCTAGTGTCTGCACCCTGGCCAGAGGAGTAGAAGTGGGGTGGAGCTGACCCAGAGTTAATTCAACAAGGGAACAAATACATGTGCACACCAAACGCTGTCAGTAAATTGAGTAAATGATGCGTCCCACACGGATGTGGACCATGGTTCTAAATGTACATAGAGGCAGTTATTAAAAAAAAAAGATTTGTGTAAAGGAAAAAAACCCCAGCAACAACTGAAATGTCAGTTAACTGGTAAATGGATAAACAAATTGTAATTTATCTATGCAATGGAATACTATTCAGCAATAAAAAGGAAGAAGCTTATTATTCATATAGGCACCAGGAGGATTATGCAAAGCGAAGGACATAGACACAAAAGTCTGTACCTTCTATGAGGCTATTTGTATGAGATTCTAGAAAAGGCAAAACCATAGCAACAGAAAGAGGATCAGTTTCAGTGACACAGGAGGGAAGAGATTAAACTGAAAAGGGAACGAGGTAATGGAAAAGTGTCTGAAAAATATACATATGAGTAGGTATATGTGTAACTGAGCCACTTTGCTGTACACTTGGAACTAACATTGTAAATCAACTACACTGCAATAAACAATAAAAGAAAGGGAACAAGGGGTCATGTGGGCTGATGGAAATGATCTACAACTTGAGAAGAGGATACGCAGCTGTAGAAATTTGTCAAAAATCCTTGAACTGCACACTTAAAATGGGAGAACTTTATTGTATGTAATTGTATCTTAATATGCTGATGTTTTAAAGACCAGAATATTTTCTTCCCCTTCTCACTTCTTGATATTTCATCGAGTCTTTAGAATAATTTCTTTTCTAAAACCCCTCCTCCAATTGCCCCCAGATCACCTAATTATTAACCCCCCTCTAAGCAGCAGAAAAACACCAAATTTTTCCTTCCTTTCAACCACTAGATTGGATTTTCAAAGACCAGATGGCTCATAACTGAGCCAAAGGAACCAGGGGGCCAGAAACCAGGGCAGGGAGAAAATCGGGGGTGGGAAGTTGAATAGGGGGAAACCTGGACCCAAGCCTGGGCGGAGAATCCCGGGAAGGGCCATGGAGACAGCGTGGAGCTGGCGATGGAGACCCAGCCCCCTCCACATCACTGGCCCTGGGGACGGTCAGGTCCTGGTGAACGAGGCTCTGTGCCTGCCCTGTTTCTCTCACCACTGGGTCGTGGGGATTCGGTATGACTTTAAATGTGAAACTGCCTGGGGAGAAACCTAGTAAGCCCCGCACAGACGCACGATCTTACGGACACTAGTATGAGTCCCCGAGGGGCTCAGCAACCCCAGCTCCGCTGCTCACACAGACCCACCAGGTGCCATCCCGACTTCTCCTCCCAGCCCCCCACCCCTCCTCTGGCCCCGGGAGGCACGGAGCAAGGGGCGGACTTCCTTTGCTCCTTGGTGCGGTCTCCCACTGCACGGTCCCCCTCAGAAAGCTTTGGACGGTCCTAATGAGGCAAGTGATGGCAGATGACCAGCAGCCAGGGACAAAAAGCTACAGAAACGTCACCTGGCCCGGTAGCCCCACCAGGTTCAGTGCCGAAGGCTGAAATCTTGTGCAGACCTCCCTCTGAGTGGGCTCAGCTTCTCTTTCCTTCTCTGCTCAGTCTCCTTTGGGGGAGCTTTAAAGGCCGTCTAGTCCATCCCCCGCTGCCAGGGGAGGGGTAACGAAGTCTGGGAAAGAGCTGCCTACCTCTCCTTCTCAGACAGGTTTCCCCTGAAAACATGCTGCCGGCTCTTGGACGTTATTTTGAAGAAGTCTGGTCTTGCAGTAACTCTGTGTTTCTCTCCTCTTTTCCCAGGAGCCTCAGTGCCCCCTCAGCTGCCCGGGAGCCACCCTGAGGTCCAGAGGGAAGTGGCGGCAGCAGAGATGGGCCTCACACCACAACCCGTGCAGCTCTGATTGGGTCTGAGGACAGTTTGGGTTGCCCAGCTGGTCTAATCTGGGTGGGGGCTCGGGGGTGTGTCCTCGCTTTAAAAAACAGCTGGGAAAGCGTTCTTCTGGCGGAAAGCCCTCCTCCTGGAACTGCGAAGGCTGCTCCACCTCTCTGACGGCCAAGGGCTCAGAGAGGAGCTGCCAGCCGCCCCGCCCTCCCAGCAGGGGACCTCCTGGGCCCCCTTTTCTCCCTGCCTGGGGGGAGACCCCTCAGGGCTCCTCCCTGACTCCCCCATACAAGACTGGCCGTGGTGTCCTCACCTGTAAATGGGGTTAACAATAGAACTTCTTTAAAACGTCATTTTGAGGATGAAGAGTTAAAACATGCAAAGCACTGACATGAGAACATAGTAAATGCTTAACAAGTGTCAGCTGTTGCCAGTGTCCCCCGTTCCGGCCTCTCGCCTGTCAGTCTCAGGGAGGGGCCGCCGGGTCTCTACAACTCTCCATCATGCCTCCCCTCCCCTGCTGGCCTTCAGGGCAGTCGTTTCCAGGGGCTTTTGCTCATCAGATCTCTCCTCCTAAAAACCCCGTTTCCCCTGCAAGCCTCCCCCTTCCTTCTCCAGCCTCCCAGGGAGCTTGCTTTCACCTTGACCTCCTTGAACTCGCTGGAACGTGGCTCCTCCCTGGAGTCCTAACAGAGCTGCCACTAGGGAGCTCCCCAGAAATCCAGCGGGACCCTCTCAGCTCCTGACTGACTTGCCTTTTCTGCGACATTCATCAGCCAAACCCTCTTTCCTGAAACACCGCCTTCCACTGGCTTCCAGGGGAGCGATCTGCCTGGTTTCCCTACTACGACCTTGTTTTCGTGGTCATAGGAGGAACCAGCCCCCATGTGGGGAGCAGTCATGGGGAGGAAAGGCGCCATCCATTAACCCCAGTGGGCCAGGCCGGGCATTTGGGGACCGTCCTGAAAGTGAATGTCCTGACCGTGGTCAGGCCCCTCCAGCCACTGCCGAGTGTGGCCGAGGAGCACCCCCGCCCCCCCCACAGTGAGCGATTCGATACTGTTGCTGCTATAACTCCCCGGGTGCTTCCGGGCACAGGCCTCGGGCTGGTTCGTTACAGCTCTCACAGCGACTGCGATGTTTGCCTCCGGCTCCTCACCAGACTGTCAGCTGCTTCAGAGGAGCCCAATCTCGGCACTTGACTTGGGTCAAATTAATACAACGCTTCCACACCTGTTCCCCTGTGAGGCAGACGCTACCGTGGCGCCGCCGACCCTGCACAGACGGGGAGGCTCGGTGGAGAGAGAAAGCGGCTTGGACTCACTTCTGCGTGGGTTTTGCAAATTTCCCACTCGTTTCAAACTATAAACAGCGACCCCCTATCCTTTGCACATTCCTGAAGGCATCCCGTCCCCAACAGGAAAGCCATCGCCCCTCCTCACTCAGCCGCCCACACAGCCCGGAAGATCGTGGACACTGCAGTGACCTGCTTGTCCGTCACCGTGTGCGCACCGCCTGCCAGGAACTTGCTGTGTGACACACATACACAACAGGCAGGAGAGGTGGCAACGGTTGTCCCCGTCCTGCGGGTGAGGAAGAGGCTGAGGTCGCACT